ATTTTAAAAATATAATAAAAGTTATTACTTTTTTTTAGTTCGATTCGATTTTATTCGATTTTTGAAAATATAAGGAGTACGTTTCCAAAACAATATACGGAATATGAAAAATTTAGTGAAAATTGCGTAGCACATCACTAATTTATTAATGTTTGGGTTCCCTCGATTATCTTTAAACCAATTAATTTGTATTGTTTTTGTTTTCCAATAGATATCTTGTATTTGTTATTCATGATAAATTGACATCTAGGTAATACTTCCTGCAATCCTAAATAAGTGCCAAAGTTCACTTTTCATATTTACCATTGCACAACTGTGACCATTAATATATACTTTACTCGCCCCTGAATAATCTTCCAAAGTTGGTTTTGCACGGGAATGAAGAAAGAAAAAATTGTGTGGTGGAGAGTTGCACTAAAGAGAGAGAAACGTGTAAAAATGTGTAAAACATATTGTGAACCACAAATTCTTTGCAAAAAAAAATTTTTTGAGACGAAAAAAAAGAAATTTGAAAATTAATTTAGAGATGGAGGGAGTATAATTCTCTATTAATAAAAAATAGATTTCGAAAATTTTGAATGTTACAAATCTAAAAATATTTTCGAAAATAATAATTTATCAATACATGAATAAATAAAGCGGGATTAAACTAGAGAATGTGAATAGTATAAAATTCAACATTTTGCACTTATTTAAGAAGGGAGGAAGTATATCTCCTGATTTTAGGAACAAAATATTCAAGATTTACTTCTTTAATAAAGCACAAGCTAATATTAAAAGAAGAAAAAAAATCCAAAGTACATTTAAATTTTTGTACACGTTCATAGTATACCAATTGAACAAATTGAAAACTCCTTAGTTGCCACGTTAACTGGTTCGCCGTTAGCAAGGGGGTGATTGCCCCTCCTTTCAATGATTTTAAAGCTTTTTGCCCAATAAAAAAGTTTAAGGGCATACTTGTTCTTTGGTGAGAACTTTAAGGGGTATTTTCCCCTTTTCCCTCTCGTATTTAATTTACAACAATGCTTGATATATCCACTCTTATACCCACCCCACCTTATACCCACCATATTTGTGAAGTTTTTTTTTTGTCTATGAATCCGGCTCACAGACACTATTTTGTTTATGCAAAATATTGTCTGTGAAGCGCGATTTACAGAAAAAAAAAACACTTCATAAACATAGGTGGGTATAAGAGTGGGTACAAACATCATTTTTCTTTAATTTATCACTCAGTTTTTCAAGAAAATTTTGATATCACAAGATAATTATGTAACAATTAAAATAAATAAGCTTAAAATTATTTTACATGGTGAATTGATTAAAATATCTGCTTATGATTATTTTAGCTATTTTTCATATAATTTTTTTATTTTCTAAATATAATCTTTTCATAATTCACAAGATTCAATCAATTATTTTAGCCACTTTCCAATTTACAAATTTAGCTATGTTAGCGCTTCAATCATAACTTTATCAATTTCAGCAGAATCAATCGATTTAACAAATTCAATATCACCAAACACGTTTGTTGGGGTCAAGTCCCCGCGTTCCAAATGCCCAACACATTTCCTTCGGTTTTTTGTAAATTTTTTAACTGATTATATATGACTTATGGTGGGCGTATAAGGCGAGTACAAGACAAGATGCAATACCAAGAAAATAAGAGACAAAGTGAGCCAAGTACTATAAAGTACTTAGAACAATTACAACACATCTATGCTGAGCCCGATCTCTGACCCTCTAGATCACGTTGATGATTACAAAATAATAGACATAAGTCTATTGCTATTGAATACAAGTTCCTAATCTTTTACAATGAAATATATGCTACTATTTGTATTACACGGTAGGGGTGAACAATTCGGTTTACGGCTCACTTTTCATCGGTTTTGGTTCGGTTTCGGTTTATTCAGTTTGGGAGATATTGTACCAAACTAAAATCATTTGCGTTTCGGTTTTGTTTCGCTTTGATTTCGGTTCGGTGTACATAAGTGAAAATTAATAGGTTCAATTTAGTTCAATTTGGTTTGATATGTTTATTTTTTATTTGATCAAGTTCTATATTTTAGAATTGGAAAATGAAAATAGTAGTCCATCACATCTTCTTGTAATTATTATTTAAATAAAATATAAAGGGAAATAAAAGATAGAAAGGGAAATAATAAAATATTATAAATTAACACCTAATTTATCTTATTAAGATTGGTGACATGAAAAGATCTAACATCTATTCAATTACTAGAGAAAAGGTTCACCTCTCACAAAAATTAAATTTATAGTTGACTAGCATTTATAATATTTTATGTAGTATAAATTATTCAAACAAAACTAAATGAGTTGGCGGTAATTAAAAATATTGTGAAATTCACAATTTTATTCAAATGAATCATGTAAAATGTATAGTGTACTCTAATTTAACTGAAATTAATATAAATGTAATTTGATGTTGTTATCGCCAAATATCTTTTCATACATGTAGAGTACAAATATAGCAAATACAAGTATGTCTTATTAGCTAACTTTGTCATAATGTATGCATGAAATATGTAAAAATTCAAATGGTTGATTAACATGTATATATCATATTTTAAATATTTATTTATATCCTAAAGATGAAGAGTAAAGACAAATACAAGTTATTTTTATAAATATTACAAGTTGTTCAGTTTTTAGACCGACTTATGGATTTTCAGTTTAAAATCGAATCAAATCAAACCATTCAGTTTGATCAAATTGTTATCAAACAGTTTACTTGAGTAAATTCAAACCAAACCAAAGTCCCAATTTTCGTTTTGGTTTAGTTCCATTCAGTTAGACCAAATCATTTTGTCTAAACCTTACCACAAGGTAGTAGGTAGAGAGAGTGATGTGCTCAACCTTGAATGGATAGCTCCCAACTACCTTAGGTGGAGATGGTCTTATGGTTAGAGGCTATGAATTAAGGGTTGAGCATAAACCAATATATATTTGAGCACATTAAAATCGAGTTCGTATAATGTATAGTCATATGTACGGTGAGCACCGTACAATTGGTGACATTTTCGTAATTTAAATGAAAAATGCAGTTTTCATTAAATGAGTATTATTGATGCATTTTTAGTGAGCATCTGACCTATTTGTTGAGTATTAGGATTCTAATATTGAGCATCGTGATATTTTCTTCATATCTTCTAATTCGTTTTCTTTTTCTTATATATGTTTGCTTTAAACAAACGTTTTATATTATACTCAATTCCTGTGAATTTCAATATGCGAGTTTAATGTAATATTGTAATTTTGACATATGCATTAATACGAAAATCATAAGCTCTGGTACACAAGGGGTGAATATATTACGCACAGTACCAATCAGCCAGCTGTCCAAGATATCTTTACAATCAACTTGATATGTGTCGCCACACTATTAGACTAGTACATTTATTCCTTTTAGCCAAATTAGACATGTGTCCTAACCCCAATAGAATAACATCTTTTTTACTTGTTGGCCTAGTATTTCTCCTTAGTATAAATATCACACACCTTTGAACATGTGGAAAGAGGTCCGATTTTCGCTGTAAGAACTTGTTCTTACTATTGCCAAAATTTCTACTTGATCTTACTTAGCACTTTCAGCCTCATTACTTTCCTGGATTTCGTCTACCCCTACGTCGGAATTCCATGACCAATATTATGTCATCATTATTTTGTCAAATTCGATTTTTTTCGTTGCATATAGGGCGTTGCTCATCTCATCGAGTCAGTTTTTTTTTTTTTGCAACTTCATCGAGCCAATCATTGTAGTTGCCATCTCGCAATTATAACCGGACTTGGTATAATATGGAGCCATACGCACAGTCTATGGTGAGCATGTTACCACTGCTGCCGGCTTCATCGCTGACTTCCACCACGCTTCCGCGTTCGGTCACCGTGGATTATTGATTTTAATTAATTGAAAATTAGGATGCAAGACTTGAAAATTAGGATGCAAGACTAGAAAATTCTTTGTCACACACTGGATTACTTTAAAAACAATAAAACACTATACTTTATATAAGATTATGAACTACTCCTCCAATCAAGTTAATAGTTCTCTATGTCCAAAACTGGAGCTCTTGTTTTATTTTTACTAGTTCAATTTATATTAAATTCGATAATTACTCTTTCAAAAATTAATATACGCATTGAGCAATATTAATTAACATGATTTAATATTTCTGAAAATAAAATATTAGAATTTGAATAGTACTATGTACAGGGGCGGACCCAGGAAATCCGTCTTGGGGGGGTTCAAAATATTTTTTGGGGGGCAAAAATTATTTTTTTAGGGGGTTAAAATTATTTTTGTATATATATAACCTAGAATTTTTTTTGTTGGGGGGCGGTTGCCCCCCTGGGTCTGTACTACGGTCCGCCCCTGACTATGTATATATAATCATATAAAAAAACCGTGCCCAAAAACTAATATCGAAGACAGAAAATTAAAGCAATTAAGCAAATCATTGGTCCTTTGAATCTTTCATACATGCAACAAATGTATATAGGGAAAATGGAAACTAATAATCCAATCTTTTAGCGGTTTTCTTTCAATAATCCCACCTTTTGATTATTCATGAATAATCCAACCTTTGCACCTCATCTTCATTCATTGGTCCCTGGTCGGTGAATGACCTACTATTCCAAGTTATTTTCTTATCTTTGCAAAATATTATCTTTGTGAAAGATGAAATTTATGGTATAATGATTTGCAAAGATAAGAAAATAGCTTGGAATAGCAGGTCATCAACCGGTCAGAGACCAATGAATGAAGATGAGGTGCAAAGGTTGGATTATTCATGAATAATCAAAAGGTGGGATTATTGAAAGAAGACCGCTAAAAGATTGGATTATTAGTTTCCATTTTCCCAATGTATATATGTAAATGTTATGGAAATCCGTGTACTCAATGTCTCAATCCCATAACTTACATTTCTTTGGGAATTGAAGATAACGGAATTGACAAGATTAATCCAAGCAACCATTGCACTTAAATATTCATGTGTGTATCAGTGTATGTAAAAAAATGAAAATGCTTTAAATCATGTGATATCCTTGGGGCGTTGGGTACATACACCAATGTACGGAGTATAGTATTTGTTGTTTATCATAATCAATAAACCCTTAATTAAGTTTGTCAAAAGAAATAATTAAACCCTTTAATTACGTTTGGCTCTCGTGAATAATAATGTTGTCATAAACTGTTGTGGACCAATCATTGAAGCCGAAGGGCGGTATCGAGTGTGTAGTTGCTTCTATTTCATCGAGATCCGCAAAGAAATCTTCGGATGAGTGGTCATCCGCGGGCAGCCCAAAATCACTCATTTGCCCGCGGTTGTGACTGTCACCCGCTGATTTGCCCGGACCCTCATCCAAAAGTTGTATTGTCGAATTGTGCTGCTTGCCAATGGAAAATAATTCGGGTTTGGATGGCTGGAAGCGGGTGGAACCAGTGAGGGCATTCTTTTGAGTGGGCCAGGGGTGGTTGTGCTCGGACGAGTAGGTGATGACCAACGTGTTTGGATCGGTCCGGCTGCGCTCCACTTGTTTTCGGGCCGAACACCCCTTTGAACTGCTGCATCTATAGTAACCCCTGTTCCATCCATCATGCATCCCTCAATAAGACTAATTGTTAGTCTCAAAGTATTAGCAATTCAGAGGCCGTTTGGCAACACTGTTTTTCAGCTTATCAGACTTACCAGCCAAGTTTTTCACCAAACACGTAATTTTTGTTCTCACGCGCTGAATTGTGTAATGAGCATAAAAAGTAAGGTTGGAGTTTTCTGACGGTATTGGCTGAAGTTACTGTAGATGACTATTTTAGCTATTTTTATATATAATTTTTTCTTTATTTTATTAATAAAATATATTTAAAAATAATTTTTTCTTAAATCAGCAGAATCAGCCAATGCAACCACTTCAGCCAGAACTTCATAAATTTCAGCAGAATCAGTCAAAATAGCCGATTTTCGTGCTACCAAACGGGCTCTCAAAATGCTAAAAATCAAAATTTTGGAGACTGAGGGTTGTGAGGTATTTTTGGTTAGGCAGTGGATTCCCAAAATGAAGGTTGAGTGGAGCAAGAAAATACTACGTAACACATTAGCCACGAGTCCCCTAAAAAAGTCATCTTTTCTTAAACTGTTGTAGTCCCCATAAAATCGCCCTTTTAATTTCTCAAATAATCAGCATATTGAAATGTCAGACCTTCAATTGTTCAAATTGCGGTAAATGTGGTCCTTTGAGGGGTGAATGTACAATGTGGTTGATGAATACATTTCATCCCTCATAGAACCACATTTACAATAATTTGGATAATTGGGGGATAACATTTACAACATCCGAAATACATGGGTCTGCCATTTCAATATGATAACTATTTCAGGGATTAAAAATGTTATTTTCTCAATTTTTTATTTGCACTCCTATTTTTGCAAAAGGAACTCTCTTTTCTAAAAAGTGCAGTAAATTAAATCATGGTGAGAAAGTGTTAAGGGGTGGAGTAGTATTAGTTAGATACAGAGTATTTTAATCTATGCTCTGAAAAAAAAAAATCTTATCGCGCACAATCAAAATTCCCGAATAGAGCATTATGGTTCGGATCTAAATTTTAAAATTACTTCGGCTTCTAGGGAGCTAAAATAGATATTAGAATGTTTGTATAAAATTGTAGAAGACTTCTGAGACTCCGAGGTGCTCCAAAATCCAAATTGCTTATAGAAATAGTTTTTAAAAACTATAGAAGACCAACTTTTAAAAAAATGTTTCTAATTCTACTTTTACTTTTAGAAAACAAACATAAAATAAATCTCAAAAGCCGCAAAGAGTGGTTTTGTGGTGTTGTTCGTTTGTGTGTATTTTCATCAAAGGAAAATGCGAATGTTTGGGTAGAGCCGTCGACCCAAAAGGGGGCTGCCGCCCCTCCAATTTTTTCTCTAGATATATTTACCCCAACATTTTAAATATATATATATATATGTATTTGTATGTATTTTTTTATGCTGCGTCCGCCATTGTTTGGTAGCGGATCGAAAAGCATGACGAACCTGGGATAGGGAGAACCTTTGATGGGCTTTTGACCATACTTTCGCCAGGCCCAAAGATCCGACGGAACTACCTCCCCGCTCTGCCTGCTATTTGCCGGCTCCGGCGCTGGCACGCAAACCACCTTCTTCGCCGCCAGACTCTTCCTGCTGTGTTACGCCGCCACAGAATTAATTAGTCAGAGCAGTAATTTGATATGTAACGTACACTTCACACTTGTCATCACTGATCATGTACATGATTTTTCATGCATGAAAGAAAGCGATAGATATTTGCCCTTAATAAAAGTTCTCAAACAGAATGTAAAAGAAAAGAGAAATAGTCAAATTACAGTATTATTGGTGCTGTCTTATAACCCAGACAGTTTATTTGATAACTCAGTCTAGTGTTCATTCCATTAGTACAGACTCCTACATTGAACGCTAGCTAGTCGCTAGACAATTCAATATCGGCTTATTTAGAACAAAAAATCTATTGATACACATTTTTCTACACATTTTTGTACACACACTCCCTAGTTATCTTTGTACACAGACAGTTCATTAAGAAAAAATGATTTGTTTTCCAATTGTCTGTGTATACAGGCAGTTGTTGAGATTAAACGCACGCACAATACGAAAACCATAACAAAAAACACGAGTTTGGTTACCCAGTTCGTCAAGAATGACTACGTTTGAGGACGCTATCAAACCAGGATGTTACTATTATTTTCTGATAATGATTACAATGAGAGAGCGGGTATTTAAAGAGAAAATAACCCTAACACCCTTAAGTAAACTCGCGGGCCCATAATAGAAAAGACCCAAAAAATTCGGCGAAATGAGCTTGGTTATACAGTCTCTACATCTTACAGCAGTGTACAAAAGTGTGTACACCAAGAGCTCAAGAGGAACTCTATTTAAAATGTTCATATTGTGTCCATTAATAATTAGTTTTACACCTTTCGTGTAGTCCTGTAAACATATTATTATTGTATGCTGACGCGCTCACTATGAACACATTAGCCTGATGATGAGTGTCTCATGTTTAAAACAGGAAGAATCTATGTTGTTCTATTTGCTCATGTAAATCAAGTTAAGGCACAATGCCAAAGTATACGGTAAAATCTGCCTCAGGGGTTGAAGACTGAAAATCTGAAATAAGTCAAATCAGGCAATCATGACTTGTACTGTAGAATTGTTTTATTTTTCAAGACTTGCCCTTACCTATTTCTTGTTAGAAAATGGATAATTCTTGTTCCACATAAAATTTGTACACATATTGTACACTCTCTGTGCCCACATGCTATTTGGCAACAAATATTTCCCCTTTTAAATGAATTGATTGTACTCACGGACAACTAGAGTGTGTACCATTTGTGTACTTCGTATTTATTTTGTGTAGAAATGTAATTTTTCTTAGAGAAAAAAAACCGTAAAAACGCCATATGACTTACACGCCATTTACATGTTGGGGTTTGTCTATGCACATTTGTCTTCACATTTAAAAGTGAATTATCTATGTTCTTAATAAAACTGAATTGTATGTGCCATCAACATTACAGACGAATTATTTTGTTCATCCCTTCGTATTACTATATGTGTCGCATATTCTTTTTGGGTCATATCAAATTAATTGTCACATTTCCACTTTCGCAAATAAAATTGTCCCAAAGTCATCTATAGTACACTTTAATGAAATATACATAAAGTGCTAGTACAGTACAAAAACACACCTTTTAATATAAAAAGTCCACAATAAACTATCTTATTATCTAAAACTTGAAAGTCATATTGTGACACTTATAATGAAACGAAGACACTAAGAGCATTTTCAATGCAAAAACTTGAATGATTCACACGTGGCATGAAAGAGACTGATACATAAAAATTAATAAATACAATATCACTCTTTTTTTATTGATCATATATGTTTTTGGCAATTTCTTATACACAATGTAGATGTAGACATTGTGGTTGACATTATTGAGAAAAATTTACCAAAAACTCATAAAATCGTGGAAAAAGAAGTGAGAGATGTCATGAATGCATTGTTTTGTGTACTCTACATCTCTCATTCCATATGTGCATTGTTCACATTATAGTATTCTGTATCCTATTTCCCTCCTTTTTAATAGAAGTGACGACTTCTCTTTCTCAACTAAAACCAAACTTTAGGCCATTTATGACAAATTTATTGTCACATTTCCATTTTCGGAAACAAATCTATCCCAACAGTTATAGTACTCCCTCCGTCCCGCTATTAACTTCCTACTTTGACATACACACATATTTAGGAAATAAATTTGACTTTACTGTTTAGACACTGTTTGGCACTGTTTAGACACTGTTTGACACTGTTTTGCACAGTTTGACACTTTTTTGATGTAGGATAACTTTCCATTTACGAAAATGAGAAGATGATTTTGGGACGGTCCAAAAAGGAAAGCAGGAAGTTAATAGCGGGACGGAGGGAGTATAATTAAATAAAGTATACACTCTACAGTATTAAAAAACCTCATAGTTTTTAAAAGTCTAGTAAATATGCTGTCTCATTATAAACTACATGAAAGTCCTACTATGACGGTTATAATGACACGAAAGGAGTAATATATACTCCGTATAATTCTTTATCCTATTTTCTCTTTTTTAATAAAAGCGACCTCTTCCCATTCTCAACAAAATCAAAATATTCAGGCATTCTTGACGATAAATTTCTTCAGGATGATTTTAATTGGACTGGTTTCAATCTAGACTATGTTAAATCAGACTAAATAGCTATATCAGGTCAAACTAGATTTTGAAATATGTAAAATACACATAGAACATACACCTATATGATAAGATCAGATGAGTTCACAATATATTCAACAAACCAATCCTATTAAGAACTATCATACTTCTTTCGTCCGAAAGAAGGTGACATGTCACTTTTTATTGATCCACGTCACCTTCTTTATTTACGGTGTATAGATGAAAACTCTCAAAGTGAAAGCACATGCCCCATTTTGTGAAGTAAATGAACCTCACGCCCTATTTAAAAATGACCCCAACCGCAATTACTTTTATTGTATAAATCCCTAATCTTTGATGGTGTCATAAATCAAAATTATTGAAGTAATAATTGATTTTATTAAGCAGGCAACTAGCGCTTATATTAATATTATTAAAGCTCAGATCGTTACAACAAACTCAAAGAGACTAACACTGACAACAACTATGCGTAACCAACTAGCACTATCAACCCTACAACTAGACTTAGAAACAATTATCTCTGAAAGGGCAATACGAATCGCTACCTACCAAACATGTGACACAACAATCACTGTTTTTTTGAAAGAGTTATAAAATGGGTTAAATTCCATTTAAATTTGATCGATTATAAACTACGACAAAAAAACAACAAATAAAGTATTTAGGAAATTTAAATTGTGATCTATTAGGGATGTAACTTGTCATACGTATTACTACGTATCTACTACGAGAATCCAAATATCGACTTATGGAAGTGGATCCATAACAAAGCATTTGCAATTTGATACAAAGTGAAAAAGGTGAACAAATTAGAACTTCGAGAAGAGATGAAAGAGATGCATATTCTGATATTCATGAGGTAATCGAAACCCTAAAGAATTCAAGAAAGAACTAAGAACTTGCTAACGTAGTACTACTTTTGTTTTAATTTGTTTCAAGAACTATTTTTATTGAAATTCCGAGTATAAAAACCTTGATAAACAAATTTTTAGTTTTAATTTGTTAAGCCCTTTTACATACTCTCCTTTTGTTTTAATTTGTTAAAACCATGTTAAGCCCTACTTTTGTTCCGAGTATTATTCATCTTCAAAAATAATCTCCATTTTTATGATTAAAAGGAAAGTATGTATATCTAGTATTTTTAGGTCTAATATTTTGAATTTTACACTATTTACATGTTTCACTTTGACAATGATTTAATTATTAATGTATTAATAAATTGTTTATTTAAAAAATGTTGTTAAATTTGTTTTATTGTAAATTTTCAAAGTTTTGTTTTTATTTTGTTATTCATAGTGAAACATATTTTATATATTAATGGTCAAAGTTTTATATTTTTAAAATGAATCATTGCAGTTATTTAAGGCCAGAGGTAGTGCACTCCATTTAAATGCTCCGTATATGAAATTAATTTTGTTTGATATAATATACTACTAGTAGTATTTAATTTTGAGAGATTACCAATGTCAAAGTTTACAATATACGGATTATTAAAAAAATGAAATTGAAAATTTAATTGTATGTCAAAGTACTTCCTCCGTTTTTTAGTTGTAACGGTCAATATTTTACACTTGTCATCGCACGTCTTTGACCGTAACTATATCTTAATCTCTATTAGTAAAAAATATTTAAAAATTAGATTTTGAAAATCTGTAATGAGATGAATTGAACAATACTTTTTTTAAAAAATAATTTTCATAAAATAATAATATAAAATGTAGTTAAAGTAGAACACGTGAATAGTGTAAAATTCAACATGTTGCGATTAAAAAGAGACGAGGAAAAAAAAAAGAGTGGTAATATTTTGTCATTAAAAAGATTAAGGGTGGTAAATGACAAATACGTAGTAAGTTTTATTATCCATAGTGAAGTTTGAATCAGTAGCTATTAGCTAACTCTGACCTCCTTTTCATAACTCCCGTGTTTCTCGGAAGTGAGATCTGCAACACCGCGTCTGACGTGTAATCCGCCGCACGTGATTCTGGGATTTTCATTTCATAATTACCCGCACCGAATACAACGGTGCTCGCCGCCGTAGGAGGCGGCGGAGTGTGATTTGAATAAGGGGAGATCCGGAGCTTTCTTGAAAAAACGCTGCAAGCCGGAGCTCCCGCCTTCCTTTTTCCATCATCATCAAGAACGAGTTCCGGCAGCGACGTCGGAGCAACTGTGCGATGAACGCCGCCGCCATCACCCGCGGCGGCATCTACGAGATCAAGCTCGAAACAACCCTTCACTCCTGTGAGCTGCTCCGGGAATATTGCCGGCGGCGAACCTGCCGGCATGCTGCAAAACGGGTCCCCGAAATCACGACGATCTAACGGTGGATAACAATAACCCATACATCCAGTTTCATCGTTGATGGTCGGAGGGTATTGCCACGTGTCTGAAAAGTTACCGGCCGGCGACGCTAATAATGCGCCGGAGAAGATGTCGGTCAGATCACCTTGGTAATTCTCCATGAAGAGTAGGGCTGCACATATAGAAGACGAGCTACCTGAGAAAGTGTTAAATCAAAGCTAAGAGTTCTTTGGAGTTTGGACGCTCGGGGAGATTAAGGATAGTTTATAACTTATAAGGATGTTTTGATGGAGTAATTAAACAGATGGATGGGTAGTGGATGGCCGACGTGAAGTGCATGAAGTTACAAATCGGAGCTCTGCTTTTTGCGAGGGATTGAAAGAAAGAAAGATTCAATCATAATTTCAGTTGAAGAAATAATGGTTATGAGCTGAAATTCATTCTCAAAATGTGGAGAGATAGATGTACGTGTATAATATGGTCGCTGACCTTTCAAATAAAACCTACTCATCCTGTACACTTACACATATTTCACTTTGACTATATTTTATTTATTAATATATTATAAATTAAATTTTTAAAGAATATTGTTAAATTCCTCTCATTCTAAATTTTCAAAATATGAATTTTTTAAATTTTTTACTAATAAGGAATGAAAGATAATGACTGTTGCAATTAAAAAGGAATGGAGGAAGTACATTTTCGAATGCAAATTACAAATTTCACTCAGATCACTTTTTTCAAAATAATTCCACATAAAGGTAATTTCTGTAATATTAAAATAATATGATCTTTTGACTACATCTTTCGCTCATGCATGACATAGTGTTTTTTTTACATTTCACAGATCTTAAATAAAAAAATACTATCACCGCATAAACTTCCTTCATCCCCAATTGAGTTGCAAAATACTCCCTCCGTTCTGCTAAGATGTTCCCGGTTTGACTTACACACACATATTAAAAAAATAAACTAATCAGAGGGCAAATTTTACTGTTTTTACACTGTTTCGACACTGTTTGACACTGTTTTGCATTGTTTGACACTATTTTGATGTAGATAACTCTCCATTTAAGGAAAGAGAGACTTCTTTTTTGGACTGCTAAAAAAGGAAAGTGAGAACTTCTTAGCGGGACGAAGGGAGTATATGTTTTTGGGTCAAACAGATTCATAATATTAACTAAATTAATATATAAATTCTTAATTAAATTTTAATTTATATTTTGCAATTTTATAGAGAATTTAATGAAGTTTTTGAATATGTAAATTTTAATGATTAAAATACTCCCTCCGTCCCAGGGAGAAGTTCCCACTTTCCTTTTTTGGTAGTCCCAACAAAAAGTTCCCATTTCCCTTAATGGAAAGTTATCCTACATCAAAACAATGTCAAACAGTGCAAAACAGTGTCAAACAGTGTCGAAACAGTGCCAAACAGTATCGAAACAGTGCCAAACAGTAAAATTTACCCCTCAGTAACTTTATTTCCTAAATATGTGTGAAAGTCAGCTCGGGAACTTCTCCCTGGGACGGAGGGAGTATTAATTATCAATAGGGAGATTTAACTTTACTTTTAATTGACAAAAAATGTTGACTTTGTAAAACAATTTGAAACGGAGCTGAGGTATTATAACATTTTCCTTCGACCCGATATTATAACAAAAAAAATCATTTTTTTTTCTTTTCCCATTTTCACCCCATTTTTCCCGTTAGTCTTTCGGTTCTTTCCATTCCTTAGCTATTTATACATTATTCTAGAATTTCTCTTGTTATTCTCTTTCCCCTTAATTTCCCTCTCATCTATCGCATTTCATATAAAGAATATATGCCAATTGTTTCTGTTTCTTTTTCCTTTCTTCATTTTCCCCAAATATTTTTTGTTATTCTTTTTCCTTCATTTTCATTCTTCCGGTCCCTAGTATTTTTTTAGCAGAAGGGTTTTCCCGGAATTGATGATGAGATTAATGGCGGATTGACTTAGAAAAATTACCTCAAAAAAGTTATATACTTAGTATGAGACTATTTATTATTGTATTTAGTTTTCGACGGGGTTATCATATCTTTACATAATTAATTTACATGTCATATCTTTATTTTACATTTCTACTACTACTATAATAATAATAATACGTGTTTTGATTTTGAATGAATTTTTCTTATTTGATCTTTAACTCTTGTCTAATCTAATTTACTAAGGAATATGTTTAAATTTGATCCAATCTTTCTTGATCTGATCTAATTCAACTTGGTTTTGTCTGATATGCTAATTAAAGGTACTCTTATACGTATTACAATACTTTACGTTGCATTTGAATTAATTAATTTATTTAGTTAAATATAATTTGATTAAAAGTATTCTCGTCTAATGTGAAATTGGAAGAAGTGGTCATGATAATTTAACAAGACCTTTCAACTTTTAAGTATATGGGAAATTGTGTATCCGACAAATTAAGATACAAATAGTTGTAAGTGTCATGCTCGGTTTCCTAAAAGTAAGTGTATACTTTATACTACTCCCTCCGTCCCAAAAAGGTTGACCAAATTTCCTCTTTTGGCCGTCCCAAAAAGGTTTGTCATTTCCATTTAAAGTAAGGAATATGTGGCTAAAAACAATTCTCTTTCCTCTGCACAAATTTCAACCACACACTTTTTACTTTATTAATCTACGTACAAGTCAACATTGGCCGACGATTTTGGGACGGATGGAGTAGTATAAATGAACCATGACGAGTAAGCATTTAAAAATATACTTGTACATAACAAACTTTAAATTCATATGGAATCTATTACTCCCTCTGTCCCTTATAACTTTGCCAACTTTCCTTTTTTGGTTGTCCAAAAAACTTTGTCACTTTCCCTTTTAATTAATCAATTTGTGGCTCCAGTTATTTTTCTCTCCTCTGCACAAATCTCTACCACACAATTTTTACTTTATTATGATACGTGCTGGTCAAACATGGCAAACCTTTAAGGGATAGAGGGAGTATATTGTGGTTACACTCTTTATTTTCATAAGGGGTTGTTTGGAAATGGCTGATCAACCAATATTTAGTTGATTTGATTAAGAATAGCTGGTTGAATTTGTTTAAAAGCCAAAAGTAATGTTTGGTAAGTGGTTTGTATGTTTGAGTGATGGGTGTGAAGAAGTCGAAAATTGAAAATCCAGCCTCTTCAAAAGTATCCTGTGCACTCTCTTCAACTAAGGAACTTGCTCATCTTGGTCGTTTTCTCTTCAAGCTAATGAACCCAAAAAATTTTTGCTTCAAAATTCAAACCAATCTTATAATCCAGCTGCCATTCTTCTTCACGAACTACAAACTCCTTTTCTTGATGTTTTCTTCTGTTCTTTTCTATTTGTTCGATTATTTTTGGTCTATTGAAATCATCTGCAGCCGTGGCTCGATCATGAGATGAATGATACTCGGTAATTCTGTACTCCCTCCGTCTCGCAATTAAATTCACAGTTTGATTTCACACAGATTAAGAAAATAAATTTGACTTTACTGTGGAGTGCACTGTTTTTCACTATTTAAACACTGTTTGGACACTGTTTGGCACTGTTTGACACTATTTTGATGTAGAGAATTTGCCAAATAAGGAACGTTTTGAAGTGTGAAGTTAATTTCGGAACTGCCCGAAAAGGAAAGTGAGAAGTTGTTTACGGGACGGAAGGTGTATATAATATGGCAAACAGATAGAGCTATTTCACATCTTTCTGATTTAGGCATATTCCCTTGCCTAACTCTTAGAAGTTGTTCTCTTCACCTGACCTGAATGTTTCTGATCTGAATTTTTTAAATTCTCATCTGATCTGAATTTTTCAGATCTGATCTGATTTGAATGTTTCTGATCTGATCTGAATTCTTCTGATCTGATCTGAATCTTTCTGATATGATTTGATTTCAATATCTCTATAATTATATTTATAATTATAATTATTATAATTATAATTGTAATTGTAATTACAAATATAACTTAAATAAAATTATAATTATAATCATAATTATAAAAATATAGTAATAATTAATATTAAATTTAAAATTATAATAATTATACCAATTAAACTAATTATAACTATAGATACAATTGTAAATGTAATTATATTTTTAATTAAAATTACTTAGATAATTATTATTGTAATTACAATTATAATATTTATTTCTAAAATTGTAATTATAACTATAATTATAAATAGAAATATAATTACTCCGTATAATAATAAAAATTACAACAACAACAACAACAACAACAATAATAATAATATTAATAATAATCATTATAATTATAAATATAATTATAATTATATTGTAATATTATAGCAATAATAATATTAAAATAATAAATTATATTATTATTATAACAATGATAATATTATAATAATAACATTATTGTTATTATTATTATATAATAGTAATAATATTAATATTATTACTATTATTATATTATTGTTATCATGATTATTATTATATTATTATTATTATATTAGTATTATTAGTATATTATTATTATAATATAATAATTTAATTATTAAATTATTAATATTATTATATTAATATATTAATATATTATTATTAATATCATTAACAATAAATATATTATAATAGTAAAAATTACAATTAATATAATAATAAAAGTGATAAATTATGTTTGAATTTTTCAGATATGATCTGATCTGAATGTTTCTGATCTGGTCTGATCTGATCTGAATCTTTCTGATTTGATCTGAATGTTTCTGATCTGGTCTGATCTGATCTGAATCTTTCTGATTTGATCTGAATGCTTTTGATCTGATCAGAATCTTTCTGATCTGATCTAATCTGAATTTTTCTGATCTGATCTGATCTGAATAAAATAAGAGTCTCTTAAAACGTGGAATGATCGGAAGATACCATAAAACTTTGGCCGGTGTATTAGTATTTTCACCTTCACTAGCACCATTTGTGGCAATCTTTCTCTTGTATCGTGAGCGATGATATCTTGGACATTTATTCAAGTTTTCATACTCATTCCGATATAATATACAATCGGAAGGACAAGCATGAATCTTCTTCCATTCAGTTCCCATTGGACACAAAATTCTCTTAGCCTTATACGTGGTGTCGGGAAGTGTGTTTCCTTTGGGCAACATCTCTCCAAGCAATGCCAATAACTCTGTAAAACTGACATTGCTCCATCCATATTTTGCTTTCAAATGAAATAACTTAAGCACAGCAGACAATTTGGTAAAATCTGAACCTTCATACAACGGTACCCTTGCTGCTTCAACTAAACTCTCAAAGGACTTTGGTTGATTTGTAAAATTTTCATGCACGTTGTTTAAGAGATCTTCAATGCGATCATTATTGATATCATCAAATGTATCAACATCATCATTAGTACTTGAGCTATTTAAAGCATCGGCCGCTTTACGCTTCAAGTTGATTGTTCTAACAGGTGGATTGAAACTGTTTTCATTCAACGGGGTTTCACCATGTAAACTCCAAACAGTGTAGTCTCTTCGAAACCCTTTTGTAAACAAGTGTTCGAGGATGACGTTAACATCAAATTCTTTTCGTGTGTTACGGCAGGTTGAACAAGGACAAAATATTCCTTCATGTCCATGTTTCTTTTGATGCGCCACATCATCTTTTATAAAGCCGTTAACACCTTCCAGGAATTGAGAAGTATTCCGCCGTCCATACATCCAATTACGATCCATCATAAACCTGTTTATTTATATTCCATTATAGCAATCGTTTTTCATTGATTTAATTTAGCGACCTAAATTATACTCGTAGTTTCAATGTGCATATATATATATATAGTCAAAAGGTCACACTATTTAAACACATAGTGATAATTAACTACACAAACTAAAAAAAAAATATAAACATACCAAACTATGAGAGTAGGACAATGGTGGAAGGATAGAGCCCAAGCAACAATGTTTTAATCTTCACTCAATCAAATCGATCAACCCATAAACCTAATTAAATTCACATGCATATTCATTTAATTAATTACAAATTAATTATAAGGGATTAATCACATGCATACAAAAATGAAATATTATTTGTTATTCATAGTAAATTAACATATTAATATTATTTTTAATGAATTGACATACACAAGTAGATATATTATTAGTTTGATCATTAGTATTATAATTAACTTATAACACAAAAATTTATAGCCAATGAAATAAAAAAGAAACTTCTAACTATTTTTTATGTATTATTGTATTGTTAGAACAAACATAAACAATCTAAAATTAATATTAATGGAATCATATAATTAATCATTTCAAATAAATACGCAAAAGGAGTAAATCTAAAAACTTACAAAGTTTAGCAACGAAAACTACTAAGTTGAGCAAGGCGGATAGTTGACGTAAGCCTCGTCGCCGGTGGGAGAACCAAGCTCTGCTACGGAAGCAGCGGTCAAGAAGACGGCCACCAAGCGCGGCCCGCGTAGGCCGTCCGAGGATGGCCTGAACGCCACCAACAAGATGCCCTCCGCAGTCCAAGCCCGACTTCGTCCGTCGCAGCGCCGCCGCCTTTAGCCGGCCGAAGCCATCAGACTTCGTCCTGCACCACCTCCCGTCCGTCGTGAGTCGCACTAGTCCGCCTCGCTCAAGGTCCGTCTCTAGCTCGCCGATCACCAGTCGTCGGCCGCCGGTTGCCCTAGGTTGAAGGATTAGCTTGCCGCCGGTTGCCCTAGGTTGAAGGATTAGCTTGTCTCGTTTTTACTCCTTGGCTTTGGAAAGTGTGGCGAGAAATAGATCGAAGCTGCGTATTAGATTAATTTGGGGAAAAACAATTTGTGGCGGTTCTAAAAACAAAACCGCCGCGCGGCCATTAATTTTTTTCAAAATTCGAACCGGTTTGCGTCGGTTGTTACGCAATAACCGCCGCGCGTCCAACTTTCCCGTCTCTTTTTTTTTAAATTTTTTGGCGTCGGTTTCTACACTAACAACCGCCGCGGACTATATAAACAAAAAAGAAAATTAAACAACGGCGGCGGTTGTCTAGATAATAACCGCCGCGCGTCTTCGATCTGATTATTTTTTTAATATTGTGGCGCTTATTATAGAACCGCTGCATATGCTGTGCCGCAAATCAACGTTTTTCCACTAGTGAGAACAGCTTGTTAGTCTATGCATTGGAATAACGTACTCCATAGCCGTGAGCTCCACTACGATCGAACAATGGCGGGTTACATTTGTATTTAGTTTATTAGCCGTGAGTAAAATTCTAGTAAATTGAAAATTGGAATGATACGATAACAAAAAAAAATACGGAGTATTAATTACGGAGTATATGAAATATTTCACAAACTTAAACATGACCCCGATGAAGCAACCTTTGAAAACTTTTGATGACGACTTCAGTAATATAAGTACAACATAGGTAGTGGCCTAGTTGGTGAACATAAAACAAATTTGAGACAATATTCACCTAATTCAACGGTTTCGGATAATATAAATGAAATGATAAAAAAGAATTTCCTAATGCCCAACGAATTGGTCCGAAAATCGCAATTTATCAATGAAAAGCACATCACATAAAGTTTTAAGGCCGGGTTTTAAAATTGCCGGGTCACGTAAAGTGTTTGTTTATGCATTCCAGTTCGTGTCCTAGTAATTAAGGGAGGTTGAGAGTTCCTTATGAAGTAGCTGAAGTTCTAAACAATTGACGATGAAAGAAGTGTCAATGCAAAGCTCTCATGCTTTTTGTTTATTAGAAAAGGGGACTTGATTACGGGAAAACATGAACTTTACCCACCTGAGTTGATACCAAAATCTATGACCTGGTGCTTAGGAGGTCTATTAATTCTGTTGCTTACATGTCTACCTTATTCACCTGATGCGGTGGGGATCGCGTTCCATTGTTCATCTTGCTCGCTAAGCCTTATGGATTTAGCACTGCTCTGTTGCGGTAATCACCCACACGGAAGGCCTAGTTTACTTCATGCAATGGAATCTCTAATTAAACTTGAAAGTCTCTGCAAAGGAAATACCGATGATGTGGTGGAAGGATTTGTAGAGTCCAAGCAAAATTGAGGTGTTAAAGGCTACAACTCGGAAGTTCTGCAATGAGGATCGCCTTCCTTCACTACTAGAAAAAGCATTTTTAACTACAAAAAATTTCGTTGTTGTAGGCCCAAAAGTTCGTCGTTAAAACTGTTAACGACGAACTTTTTTTTTAGCGTCAAGTTTTTGTAATAGCTTCCATCGTTAATGATTTTAACGACAAAGTTCGTCGTTAACAATTAACGACGACACTATATCGTCGTTAAATAATAACGATGAAATAATAGCTTGTCGTCGCATACTAACGACGATATAAATTTTCATTGTTACATGGTAACATGATATAATCATTTTTTTAATTTTATAATTCACTTCTAATTTGAATTATTTTATCCTAGAAAAGTTCACTACGAATTCAAATTATTTATAACTAGCAGAACAATGAAAAATTCTCATCAATATTTATTTAATTAATAAGTATTGAAAAGATCAAAACTATTAACCATCTTGTGCCATCAAGTTTAAAAACAATCAACAGATGCAACAAAATATCTTTAATGTAAAATTATTGTTGGATGTCTACACGATAACAATAATCATTCTCACAAACAAATTATTGTTGGACTTCCTAAGTAAAGTCGTTGTGTTGACTGGCCACGCCAGCAGTGGAGTATCCATGGCGGGGATCGTGTACTCGGTGTACCGATTCGGCCTGGATAACACACTGAAGGGACTGGCCGAAAAGCTCGTTCCGGCCAAGAACACTGACCATGGAAAGCAGTTAAAGAAGATGACGAAGTTGCTTATACAAATCGACTATGGAGTTGCGCGACTCCTAGATGCAGCCAGTACTGGCGGCGGCAGTCCAGGCAGCAGCAATTCAGGCCATGGCAGTTCAGGCGGCGACGGGCGACGAGGGGAACGGCCGAACGGCAATGGCAGTTCCGATGAGTGAACTGCCTTGCTTTGATTTTTTTTGTTGTTGATTCTATTATGTATGTTGTTATGTATGTTGTTAACTGAGGATGGAACTTTATTATGATCTTGTTAACCTAGCAATAAACACACACACACATTCCGGCAATCGCTCAAGAAGAAATAAGAATTGCCCGTAGAAGTGATGATGAGAGAATGGCTAGTTACATCGCCACTTCAATTAACGAGGAAACCCGACTTGCAGTTGTTTGTGAGAGGGCGTTTCTGAAGGTGTTAGATGGATCTTGTCAAACTCCAATCGCTGGGTAATGCCCACCGTAGGGAGGATGGGGATTGCATTTTCAAGGGTTTGGTGGCCTTCCCAGATAGAATTCAAGTACTTGAAACGTCAAGGAGAGGGCCATATGCCTTTAATGAGATGGTTGAGATGGGTGAGAATGCGGGTAAGGAACTCCTGTCACAGGCTGGGCAAGGTTTTTTCGCCGACTGAGTTATTTTGGATATAAGATGTGATGAGGAATCACATATAAGATTTGAAGGGGAGGAAGCTTGGGCTTTGCGTACCATTAATGGATTGTACTTAGAGTGAGGGGGTGACATAACACGCTATTTTTGTTAGTCAGAATAATTGCTAGCCTATATGCATTACATACGTTATTACAAAGTTAATCAACTTCAATATATATATATATATATATATACTCCGTATTACGCCTGAGATTATTAATATAAATATACTTCGTTCCCTTTTAATTGCAACGGTCAACATTTCACGTTTGCCAACGCACAAGTTTGACTATTAATATCTTTCTTTCCTTATTAGTAAAAAAAATTAAAAATTCATATTTTGAAATTTAGAATGAGAAGAATTTAATAATATTATTTAAAAATTTAATTTATAATACATTAATAAATAAAATAAAGTCAAAGTACAATATGTGAATAGTGCAAAAAGTCCAATGTTGCAATTATAAGAGAACGGAGGTAGTATATATTAAGACATGGTATCAGAGCTAAATCTATCCATGGTGTGAGTCCCTTTATAAGAAAACGTTTGAAACGAGTATGAAAATGACAATAATGAATCTTAATATAGCATTTAAAAGGTTGATCCGATAGGAGTAGTAATCTCGATCTTAATATAACACTTAATTCCTTCACAAGTTTCCGGTGTGAGAATTTAACAAGTACATACACCCCCCAAGACATTACTAACTTAAGCCTGACTTTTTTCTGCTCCAATAGCATTGAGGATATTGAGTATATACATATAGAGTAACAGTTTGTTTTTTTCTTTTTAACATGTTTAAATATGCAATTGGTATAAATGTAAGGTTACCCTATTATTTAGTCATTACTTAGTCATAAATGTAAGGGTCACACACTTCGCATTAATAAATTTACATTTCAATTAACATATATAAACGTTTAATTTGAAAATGAAAAAAAAAAGTCACAAGCAATCATTCATACATCGCGCGAATGAATTACTAGCAAAACATTTTACTAGAAGTGAATTTTAACAGAACGCAGTGCGGAACAGAAGGTGTTAATTTGCAAGCATTGCTTAACACCTTCATTCGTTAGTTTGCATTCCAATTTCGAATACGAAAATATTCAAAAATGTCGTATTATGTCATGCCTATTAACAAAAGTAAAGAACAATGTCATTATCACGTGTTTGTTTGGTTATTCAAAAAACATGTTTTAGTTATGGTTTACTTTACGTAACTGTGTCTAGAATAAATAATAATAGAAGAACAAACATTAAAAAAATTGGTGCGTATAAAGAAGTGTTTCATAACATTTAGTATTATATGTAGTGTGTTTTAAAATTATATTTACATTGTCTCACAGTGTCCTACTTACTATTTTATGGGTTTATAAAAATGTGTGTACTACTTTGTAATCTTAAATAAATTCTTGTAGTTTCTAACGTGGATGAGAAGAGATATAGCAAGTAATCCCTATAAATAATCCTAACTTTTGATTTTTACGCTTAATTTCTATTTAAAACTCACTTGTTATAGGAGGTAATATCTGGTCATGGACCATTATTGGCGGACAATCCATATAGTTGGGATTATACAAAAATAATCAATAGTTGGGATTATTGTCAGCAGACCGCCAATAGTTGGAATTATTATTTTCAAATTTTCCTTATATATATATATTTATATATTATATTATAATATTAATGTATACATATATATAATACATATCCAGCCCCTTCAGCCCGGATTTGGATCCTCTGCCGCACGGCAGAGGTACCTTGCGCAATCGAACGGACAAGAGCAATAAGGCAGGAGAGTTTGGGATGAGGAAGTGTAGATCGTGAAGCTGTAATCAGCCAGGCACCCTACCTGGCTGCAAAGCCAGGCAGAGAATCTTGATCCCTTCAGCCCTGCAGGCCAATAGTCCAGCCTGCCACTCCAAGTCTCCTATCCATTTTTACTTTTAATTTTTCAATAACGGCGCCTCTACTCAAGTGCCTAGATAGAAGTTGTACTCCAGCAACCAAGTAGCTAAAGACGCATCTGGCAACATAGCAAGAAATTCCCCAAAATTAATAAAGAATTTGACAGAGATATGGTAAACTCGTGCCGAAAACACTTTGACACGATTCGTGTCAAATCTGCGTCAATCCCGTATTTTTTGTAATGTCATATTTCTTCAATTACAATCGTTCAATGTTGTTTGACAAAGAATTCATATTAAACGGTTCCTAATAGTAATAACTAATAAAGGGCTGATCCTTTTAATAATGTGCCCCTCCGAGATCGCCACTGGTCCTCCGTAAGCGAAAACGATAAAAACATTTT